AAGTCTTAATTAAGCGTAGCATCGGTCACAGTGTGGGGTTATTTGTGGCCTGATTGAAAACATCTAAGGACGAGGGGGTGGGGTACACCCAACGTTAAAGCCCTCAAAGGGACCCACTGTTCCCCAAGTGTTTGTGCATAGTAAACACTATATTGGCATAAATGGATATAGACTAAGATTGAAAGTTTAGTGGGACCCATGACATGAATGGGTAATGTTGTATACATGCTAAATCGAAAGATTTTTTTTTTAATCATGAGCATCTTATTTGTTGATACATCTTATGTGATGCTTTAAGCACGTTATGAGCTTAACATTGCTATAATTATTTGTACACGATTATCATTTGAGAATTTCGTGTTTGGATACCTATGTCATGTGGGATGGGATTAAAACTCGATAGTTGTTTTCCTACTGGGCATTGGCTCACGCTAACATTTTTGCAAGGAATAAATCAAGAGATGATGGGGGTTTCTTCTCAGAGCTATCTTAAATATTTGTGCTTTGTCTAGCTTGCGAGTTATTATATCTCATGTTGATGTTCTTGTGTTTTATTACTTTGGTGCATTTTCAAAACCTAGGGGTCTAATTGCGTCGATTAATGTACTATATTTGGGATGAATGTATAATTTGGGCACTTGAACAAATTTGGGTACTTTAACTATGATATTAAGTAAATGCTCAAAATTTCAAATCCTTTGTACTTAAGTTTACTTTGAGAGTTGGTTAGATGCTATGATTATCTAGTTTAAACTGAAGTACTTGAACTGTTCAATTCATTCAATGAATTATGTCAATTTGCTAAATAAATCACATAAAACATACTAAATCACCCCAAAAAATTGGGCCTGACATACAAAACCTCCAATGTGAATATGTCGAGGCAACACGACATTACCCCAAAAGAGGCATTGCAGTTTTTTGGCTTTCATCCGAATTAGTGTTTGGGTCAGCAAAGAAGGACTTAAGAACGGAAGAAAAATAGAGAAGATCAGAGAAATGAGTGTATACCATATCTTTGCTAAGAGTAAAAAAGGTCCTAAAATAAGAATCAAAGGTTTTCTTTGTGTACAAGGCTGGAACAAACAAAATTGATTAGTTCCAAGGCTAGTACTTGAGGCCAGACAAAGTTTCAAGGGGCTAGACCTTAGGGAAATAAGCATAGAACCACGCTTGGAAGAGCCAAAAAAGGCCTCCACAGCTAACAGTGATCCTATTTTCAGTCAAATTGAAAAAGCCTTTATATAGTGCCCCTAAGACAAAAGGAGCCAAGTCAAGTTTTTTTTTATTGGCTAGTTGGATGGCCACTCCAACTTATTTCTTGGTCACCTTAAAACTAGGGACACATAGGATAAATCAACAGAGCCAATAGAGGAAGAATACAACATGCTCTATGAACGAATGAGTAGGGGATTGAGAAGCAAAGAAACAATTGATAAGGTCACTAAATCCTATACTAGAAGGGATATTGACGAAGTCATGACCAGTGTCAGTAGAAAGGCAAGCGCTTACTTCTATACCTGTTGATGGAAGCCCTGTGAGGTGAACAATGTCCAATATTATTGGGGACATCATGCCCATAGGGAGAAGCATGACATTGCATGATTGGAACTAGAAACATGCAAAGGCATTGATTAGCTACCGATTCATGTGCAAATCGCAGGTGGAGAGCTTGATCATTTCAAAAATGCCCGAACATCTCCATTGGGAGGCATAATGGGTTTCCATTTTTGTGTCCCAATCAACCTAGCATTAGATAGGATTGATCTATGAACGAAGTGGGTTAGTTCCTTGACTCCATGATTTCCAAAGGAGTTGAGACTGGTTCAGCATTAGGCTTTTACCTTCGTAGATGGGGTAATGGTCAAAGAATCTTTCACAAACATACGACTTAAAGGAGGGATCAAGAACAAGAACCCCACTCAAACTGGGGGTAGGAATCAAAACCCTATGGTCTACAAAATCATTTGCGGCTTGCTTAATCTCATTAGGAAACCTTGGCGAAAAAGAAATTTTTGAAGTTGTTAATAATGGAGGATTCTGTTTCTTTAGAGCTATTTGGAATATTAGAAGAAGAACAACATGAGAAGATGAGAATAGAAAGTAAGAAGCAGAGCGAAGTGAATAGTTCAACCATCAAAACTCTTTAAGTAAGTGTTTAAGGAAGACAATGGTAATGACTGTTCATTTATTTGAGTTAATTAAGATTAAAATCAATTAAATGAAGGAGCCATTGTTTGGGCCTAAAATACAAAATCATAGAAATGTTCGATGCATTGACATCTGGAAAATTGGAAGACATTAAAGAAATGTCAAGTGACAGAATCTAAAGAAATATGAGAAATGGTCATCCACAACCTTGTTTGAAAAGAAGAAGTAATTGTTTGAGGGTTACAAGCCAGATAACCGTCAATGGAGGTAGAACCGTAGAAGAGAGTGGCTATAAAAGGCAGATAAAGATGAAGTTAGAGGACACATATTCAAACCCCATAAACTTATGATCTAGATATTTTTAAGAGTAGTGTTAAGTTAGTTTTAGGAAGTAGTTATTGTTGTAATCAATATTGTTAATTGAGTCTTTTCTATAATTGAAATCCTTTCGATTGAATTAAGAAAATAAATATTTTTTTCTTAGTTCATTGTACTGTGCGATTATCCCCTTAGAATTCATCCAAAGAAAGTCCTGAAATAAGGCAATTGAGCCCATTACAAGCAATCACCTGAAAATTGTCTGTCGATTGAATCTTCTCCATCGATAACAGATGTTGGAGCAACAATCTTATATTTTTTTTTTCCCAAAACATGGACTTTTATAAAACTATTTTTATTGAACTCAGACTTTTATCAAGTTTAAAAAATTATTATGAACTATACTACATAACAAATTTAGTGCCATATTTTTATTTTGAAAAATAAAATAAAATTGGGACCTTCTTAAGCCAAGCAGAATATAAACTTAACATTTGACATTGTTATCTACAATCTTATGATTTTTGGAGTTGACTACCTAATTGAATTTGTTTTTTACGTACCATATCCTTATTTACTATATTTGTGGTTACTTTTATTATGTTTGTGAGTTCTTGTAATACCACTGTTGTTTTATTCAAAAAAAAGGTAAAAATAGTTACACAACAATGGTAAAAATATCTATATAATAAAGTAGAACGAAGTTTGAATTCAAAAGACAAAGAGAGGTTCAGATCGTTTTGATACAAAACATAAACACATCCAACGGATAACGTAATCCCAATATAAAAGATGGTTCAGATCATCTCAAAAATTTTGATCTAATAGTCTACAGTTAGTCCTGAATTTCTTTTCCCGCCCATGAAGAAACCTCTTATTGTAAGACTCTACATTCCTATCTCTCATACATCTCTACCTTAAATTTGAAAAATTACAATAACAACTCATATTGAATTCATTTTAAATTTAATTATCTAAATGTTATATGTTAAAAATGTACCTTGATTTATGTTGGTTTTGTTTAATTTCTAATTTTACGGTAAAACTTTGCATAAAATTGAAAATATTTCTATTAAACACACATAAATTACATAATATCTCTAAGTATAGTGCTTCTTTTTCAAAGTTTGACAGTTTAACATTTGACCCAAATAACTGCATACACACCGTCACTACAACACAAAAATCAGTACCCAAATAGACAATGCCACCATTTTTTGACATATAAGTTATTTAGTATATCGATTTTTTCAAAAAACTTTAGTATAATATTTCATTAAAAACTATTATATACTTACTATATAATTTTTCATCATTCTTATTACAAACTGATTCATACTTATAGTACATTGTAAGTAGATCTTCTTATCACACATCTTACTACCGATGGTTGATGTTTACTTCTTACTTCTTGTCAATCAATGAAGTTTAAATTGTATTTATAATTCATAAATAAAATTATCAAATTATTATTCATATCAAAAATAAAATCACTACTATATGAAAACCTATAGTTTTCAAAAAATTTAAAAAAAAATTCAAAACTCAAGTTTATCAACAATTAAAAAAAAAGTGACCAATATAAAAAAAATAAGATATCAATTGCAATAACAAAAAATATTCAAAACTAATTTAACCGCTATGTGTTGAAATTATTCAAATATTTTATCTTTGTGTGTTGAAATTTTATAAGTAACACAGTGCCTTTAGGCACGGACAATAACTAATTCATAAATATGATAAAACACTTATAAATGTGGTAAATCAATCACAAAAGTAATAATTTTTTTTATAAAAAAAAAATAGTAAAAGTAGTTATCACAAATGTGTTAAAAACACTCACAATAATGATAAAAATACTAACAAAAGTAATAAATCACCAACAAATGTGAATTTTTTTTATTCTAAAATAATCTACAAAAACTATAAAAAAATACACATTAAAATAATACAAATTAAAAATGTAATACCAAGTTTTTTTTTCCGATACCATAATCATGGTCAAAGTTTTTTGTTCGAAGTCTTATCACTGCTTGGTCGTCTGAATGAAAAAGTAGGAAATTGATTCTCCTTTTCTGTTCACACTGGAACCTCTATTCTTCCTTCAACAATAGAGGTATAAAAAAAAGGGTTTTTGTATGCGATGTTGTCAGAATTGGACTGAATCCGACCAGCCGGTCCGATCGATTCAACCTCGAGCTGACACCTTGACCGGCCTAGTTCTCTAACCGGAAATAAAAACTGAGACTTGGGGGATTTTAAAAAATGGGGCGATTTAATACTCATTTAAATTTTAAATTATATAAATAAATTAAAAGTAATATTGCATGAACTTAAAAAATAGATTTAAAAATTAAATTTAATAATCTCAACCATTAAATAGGTAATAAACCCTAATAAATACTAGCATCTATAATAAAATTAATAATTAAAATTATTAAGACTATTTTTTAAATTCACGTAATAAATTAAATTATAACTTCTACCGGAGTAGGACCTTTTTTTTTTTTTTTTGCCCTAAATCGCACAGCACTGAACAGAAGGCAGTAGCACCTCCCCTACCAGGCTCCAGCGACATCAGGGCCTCAACTGCGATCAGACTCCATTGACATCGACTGCTATCAGCGGCATCAGCCACTGCGATCAGCGACTAGGGAGGGATCTTCGACTGCGATCAGCGACCAGGGTCCAGGGATCTTCGACTGCGATCAGCAACCAGCGACCAGGGATCTTCGACCAGCGAACTCAGGCGAACCCAGCGAACCAGCGAACTCAGCGAACTCATCTCCTCCCTTTAAGGTAAAAAGTTTTGCTGTGATTGGATGGGTAAAAACTCAGGCGAACTTTGCTGTGACTTGATGGGTAAAACGTTTTCAATTTGCTGATAGAAGTCATACAAGCCAGCCATTGTTTATGAATTATACTGCTGACTATGGCAATTGACATCTCTGCTTCATGTATAATCACCTGCATACGCACTGACAGGATATCCATTATTTCATATGCCAACCTATCTTATTTAGCCATTTTACGTGGATTATACTAACTACAATAAAACTCTGGTTTGTGTTTTTGGGCATAATATGATCTAACCAGGTTTGTGTTTGTGTTTTTGACTGTGAGTCTGTGACTACATCTTTTATTTTATAATTTTTTAGTATGATGTGTGATGTTTGTTTAATTATTTGGTGTTTAATTCTGCACATTGTTGGGTGATTTTGCACATTGTTGGGTGATTTTGAGCATCACAAAATTAATGTATTTTATGCTTTCAGTTTGTGAATTGGGATATTTGTTGTCATTGTGGATTTTATGCTTTCAGTTTGTTTGCTCTAACCAATTGTATGCATTTTAGACATATTTTATATTTTTTAGCTAAATTATTATGTTTTATAATTATTATATATATTTTTTTATTTTTTTATTAGATGGCCAGTCCGACCGGTGACCCACCGATTAAACCAGCGAACCATTGACCTAGTCCCCTAGCCGGTTTGATGAGACCGGTCTGGTTCTGATAACATTGCTTTTATGAATCCTTTTGTTCTTAAATCATTTTATCTAATAGGAGAAAGATGAAGCCGGTGGTGGGGATGGTAGTGTCGAATAAGATGCAGAAGTCAGTGGTGGTGGCGGTGGACAGGCTCTTCCACCACAAGATCTACAATCGCTATGTCAAGCGTACCTCCAAGTTCATGGCCCACGATGAACACAACCACTGCAACATCGGCGACCGTGTCAGTGCCTTTCCTTAAAATTTATATGCATCTTTCCGTGTTTCTTTTCATCTATATGTGTTTGTGCAATAGGATGGCTTTTCAGAAATTGATGGTATGTTTTTCTCTTTTTTTGTATAAATGATGATTTCTTGTAGTTTTCCTGTAAGTAGATGGTATTGGTTGATACTCTGTTTGGGAAATTTATTGTCTTGACTTCCTCCTGCTTCATAAGGATTTTCAGTTGCAGTTGTATGGCGTACTTTCCAATTTCTCGTTTGGTTTTTTGCCCAGGTTAGTTGGAAACTGAATCTAGCTCTAGTATACTCCGCATACCCATGAATTCGTTCCTCTTTTGGAACTTTTGGTGGATTTTATTTATTGAGTGCTAAGAAAATAAGCTAGAAACAAAAACAGATGTTCAACTCAATTAAATTTTGAAAAAAGGACTCAAAATTCAGTACATTAGCAGTAACTATACATTTTCAGGGTTGAAATGTTGAATAGAATGTTTACTTTCTCTTAATGTGGAGGAAGAATCAGGGAAAACATTATATAACGTCATAGAAATCAAGAGAGAATGCTCAATTGGCAATCAAATGTGGTAATAAGTGACAAAAGAATTTTTGCTAAGGAGGGAAGAGAGACTTGGAGAGACAAATGAGGAGTAGTTGGGCATTATTCTTGTAGCAATTTTGTTTGGTGGCACTGTGGACTTGATAATTTATGCTTTATCCACATTAAATGACATTTATAAAAGGCCATATGACCAGGTTTCTAGATTTGTGTGTTTAGAACAGGCAATTTTTACAAAACTTACTTGGTTGCTGGGTTGGCCTTGTTAGTTGCAGCTCCACCTGACTTATCCACTAAAAAGTGCCCGAGGAATGTCCATCTGTTTATATTTAAAAAGATTTTGCTCAAGCACTCTTCCCCAGCCACCTATTTTCATTTGTTTCCTCATTTATAGTTATTAGGATATTTATTTTTATATGTTCCAATAGCTCTTGTGTTCGATATTAGAACTTGGATTTCTTTGACAATTCTCCTTTATGATCACTTGTGGCAGTTTTCGTGGGAATGAGCCCTTTGGTCTGAGGCTCATGTGGCTGCCAGTGATATGACCGTTAATTAACGTGATATTGATTCCTGCTGTTTTTCATCTTTTAGTTATGTGTCTATTGAAAACCATGGTCACATTTAGAATTTATTATGAAATCACCATTTGCTTCTCTTTTTTATCCATCAGAATAATTTTGTAATGATCGTCTAAACACAATTTGCCTTGTTTGAATTCTCGAACCTCTTGTTTTGGTTCATCTCTCTTTTTTTTTCCAGAGAATTTAATATTCTGATTATTCTTCTCTTTTTAAAGGGAAAGAAAAACCTGCATTTGTACATCATCATATTAGTGGTCATTTTCTTTTGATGTGTTAAATTTGTTTATTTAAACTTGATAGAAAGATATCATATCTTTCATTGCTTCCAAGGGGAAGAAAGACAATTTAAAATATTTGTAGTTGTACTCCGAAAAGCTAATAATACTGCTTAGGAAAATCAGAGACTGATATAGCTGTCCAATTTACTCTTTACTTTTTATTGCCGATATGTACGACAGAAACAGAAAATGGAATGTATGTAACGGATATAAAATAAAAATAAAAATAAGGGATGTAATGGATATGTATTTTGATTCACATATAAATACTCTAATTCAGTTGTGGACTTTGTTGATATTTAAAAAGTTTGGGTTTGTTGTTTGAGACTGTATTGCAGGTTAGATTGGATCCTTCAAGGCCATTGAGCAAGCACAAGCACTGGGTGGTAGCTGAGATTCTGAAGAAAGCACGAATCTACACACCCCCATCGGTGGTAGCTAAAACTGATTCAAGCAGCAACACAGAAGTACTGGCTTCTTCTCCCGCCTAAGGTCTAACAGACATTTTGTGGATTCCTATCATATTGCTGACTAGTGACCTGCATATTAGTGGTGGGTTCTGGCCAAACGAAACCTTGATAATAGCATTTTACAAAATGTGATATTGTTTTTGAGTTCTTGTGTAATGGACTTCATGCTAGGCCTGTTGCAAGGACTTTCCATTTCAAGGAAAACGATGTCAGACTTAATTCCTTCCAATTGATGTAATGTGGCAAGGACGGTGATGCAAATACTCTGCTGGACCTCATTACTATGTGTTTCAGTAATCATGATGACCCTGAAAAGGGCTTTGTTACTCCATTAACGAGTAATGAGGCAATAATAGGTTTCATAACCGATTTACTTGGTAATCAAACTATGTGTTGAAGCATTATTACAGGACGAGAAAAGAGTTGTAAAGGTATGCTGAAAGCTATATTAGTTATAAATGTGTTACGCCTTATATGTGCGTATTTATTGTTACATGTGCCATGCATCAGTGTAAGACATGGGAAATAAATGCCTTGACAGTCATACATAAATGCATCTCATTGTTTTCTTAATTCTTATTTGCTTTATCTTTATTGATTCTAAAGAACTGTTAAAATCGTGCTAATTCAATAGATACAATTGGTTTTCATTGGGTTTTCTGGTGTTTTAATTTTTTTTTTTTGAGCCCTGGTTTGGTTGCTTTGGAAATGGTTTAATAAGGAACACCAAACAAGAAGTTGTGTTTGGTGTTAGAAAGGCATGTGTTAGTGAATTGCATTTATAATATAAATTTCTATGAAGTGACGTATATGCAGTTGAGCTAAGGAAGTTATTGTAACTGCCATAGCATCTGTTAACATGATTATGTGGACTTGCAATGCTACATTTTTTTTTTTTTGCAATGGTATTACGTACACATACTGCAATTTTCTCAAAAACAAAATCCATGTGATACTCATATTTGTAACAAGTGCTTAAAAGTTTAAAGAATTTCAGAGTAGATGATTCATAGCTCTATTGTTTTATGCCTTGCTGCAATTTTCATGAGAACGGAGAGCCATGTGATAGAGATTTGTAATAAGAAGTGCTTAAAATGAAGAAAAGCTTAGGTCATGTTTGGTTATCATTTAGGAAACATTTTTTTGTTCTCAAAATTTTAAAAACACCTAAAACTTATTTGTTTAGCATTTTTGTTCTTTAAATTTTGGAAAAAAAAAATGAGATTTGAGTCAAAGAAATAGAAAATAAGTGTAACTTATTTTCAGAGTTTTTTTGAAAATTTTGGAAACAAGAAGAATAATATATATATATATAAATATACGTGTATATATATGTATATTTATTTATATGTATATATACGAATTTGTTTATATATATATATATATATACTAGCAATTGCCCGTGCCTGACATTACTCGTAAATTAGTTACAAATATTTGTTCATACATAAATGTAAAGTAAAATACAACATTGTAGTAAACAACGAACAAAATGAGTCCGCTAATATTTTTTATAATATCAACCTACATGAATAACATATATTTTCACATTAAATTGTTACGCCACAAAAATTATGTTATAACTATTAAAATATAATAATTTAAATATCTGAAAAAATATATCAGTTGACAATATTCAATGTTCTATTTTTTAATCAAAATTCACGATTTTAACATTCATAATCAACTTTATCTAAATAATAACATAATTCATAACTAATAGAATGAAAATTATAACAATACTCCCACAAATAAACTAAGTTTGTAGATGTTGTCAAATGACCAAATATAATTATCAGAAATTCAACCGACTTCCAAAAAATACGACCTGACTATTAAATTTGTATGATTCGAGTTTATAGTAGTGTTTTTAATTTTATATCATTCTTCTCGGTTATTTATATTTTTAGTATATTTTCTTAAACTAAACGTTATTTAGTATTGAATTATTTAGTAAAGATTGTTACTTCGTGTTGTTCACTAAATATTGAATTTTTATGATTTATGTTAATATTATTTCTTATAATTTTGTATCATTTCTATTATTTGTAATTTTGTATCATTTTTCTCGGGTATTTAGATTTGGATTATTTAGTAAATATTGTTACTTTGTGTTGTTCACTAAATATTGAATTTGTATGATTCGTGTTTGTATATGAATTTAATCTTGTATATTTTAAATGTTAAACATATTTTCTTTAATATATCTTTTGATATTTGAGTTGTCCAGTAACTTAAATTTAATCTTATATATTTTACATGTTAAACATATTTTATTTGTTAAATTAGATTTTTTGCAAGTTATTCTTTTTTTGTATTATTTATGAAAAAAAATAAAATTAATTATTGAATTTGTACGATTCGAGTTTATAGTAATGCTTTTAATTTTATACCTTTTTTTTTAATTATTTATATTCTTACTATATTTTCTTAAACTAAACGTTATTTAGTGTTGAATTATTTAGTAAAAATAGTTGTTTCATATTGTTCACTAAATATTAAATTTGTATGATTCGTATTCATAATATTTTTTATAATTTTGTATTGTTTCTCTCACTTGTAATTTTGTATCATTTTTCTCAAGTATTTAGATTTGAATTATTTAGTAAATATTGTTGAATTTGTATGATTCATGTTTGTAGTATTGCTTGAATGAAGGAGAGAGATACAGAAGAATATTTTCGCGATATATACTATCTATCTAATATTTATTATATAATTTTTCTTCAGAGAGAAATACAAAGGAATATTTTCATAATATATTATCTCTCTGTGATATATAGTATCTATCTATAGAGAGATGCAGTATTTGCTTAATTCAAGCACTATCTAATATTTTTGTGATATTTTCATGAAATATAAAGGAAAATATTGTAAAAAATTGATATTTTTTGCGTGAATTGAACGTGAAAAAGAGATACAGATGAATGAGAGAGAGAGATTTACTTGATTTAAGGAAAAAATTTGGAGAAATTAAATTTTAGAATATCAATTTTGAAAACTATAAATTTTGAGCAGTAAAAATATTTCAAAAGAGTTAATGTGGTACGTCGAATTAAAACGATCTGAGACGTCAATAACTCGAGACAGTTTGGGATAACGTCATCCGTTAGATGATGCTTATTTTGGTCACGAAACGATCTAAACCACTCTTTGTTTTCAAAATTCAAATTCGTTCTACTTTATTATATATATATAATATATATATATATATATCATAACTCGTGCCTGAAGGCACGATTAAATATAAAATTTGAGAGTCCAAAAAATTAATCTCATTATATTAATTTTTTAAAAAATATATTAACTACAAATTAATCAAATATTAAATGATTAAATATATGATAAAAATAAGTAATGTGATATTTTTAAGGAAAAAATATATAAATGATTAAATATATGACAGAAATAAGTAATGCGATTTGACATTTGAGTCTGACAAATGGATGATAGGTGAGATAAGTAATTGATGATGATTTTGAGGAAAAAAATATGACTGAGATAAAATTCAAACACACTCCTATTTTATTATACATATATTTTAAAGTTTGGTTTATTGAATTTTTTTTTATGAATTTGTCAATCTAAAATAATTTTTTTATTAATGTTTGAATTACTGTTCAAATATATATTTAGATTGTCCAAACAGATTTTATTATTTCCTGTATTGTAAAATTATTTTTGAAATCATTTAACCAAACAAGTTTTTTATTTCAAAAAATATCAAAACCACTTTCTTAAAACTTTTCTCAAAAACTGTTTTCGGATACTATTTTTTAAAACGCAAATCAAACAGGCTCTTAATGTTCTTCCATTTGGTGGGTGGATAGAAAGTGAAAGTGATACACGTTCTACCCTTTTAAGAGAAGAATTTTTATTTCTCTCTTTTGTGTTTGGTAAGAGAGATAGAAAAAGTAGGAAGAATTGATTTTTTTGTGTTTAATAAGATGAAAAAAATATTTTTAATTTTTTTATTAAAAAAAAATATAAATATATATTTTATTATTATATTTATATATGAAATTAATGTATACATATAATATCTATATAATAAAGTAGAACGATTTTGAATTCAAGAGACAAAAAACAACTTAAATTGTTTCGTGATAAAAAAAGACATCATTCGACAGACAATGCCTTCTCAAATTGTGTTGAACAATTGACGTTTTAGATTATGTCAAAATTTTTGATCTGAAGCACTAGATTTACGCATGAAAATTTAAGCCTGCTTAAAAATTTTAATTTTTAAATTTTTAAATCACTCCACTCAAAATTTGCCCTAATTCCCTAAATCACTTCATTTAATTTGCCCTAAAAATATATTTTTTTTCTCTCACTATCTCTATTCTATATCCAGTCGTGTCCCTATCTCTATTCTTTCTATCTCTCTGACTCTCCTCTGTCTAGCACCATCACAAGCCACACCAAAAACGACACCAGCGACTCCCAGAGATAACCAAAGGTATCCCTTTTTTCTCTCACTCCTTCTCTCTATCCCCTCCGCTCCTTCTCTCACCCATTCTCCACCACAGTAATACCACCTAAGTGTTGGACCAAAATAATTTTTTAAGTGTAAAAATTAAATTTTTAGTCGATTTTGAGTCTAAATTAAAGTGGGTCTCATTCGTTGTTTTGAGTAAAATTTCTTTGGTTCGTATTATACTCCGTGAGGAGAATAATGTAGTATATTCACTTGCTCAAATCGAATAAGAAATGAATGAGAAAATAGGCTCCAAAGTGACCCTCTTGAAATGTAGAAATAAAAGTTGTGCAATATAGGATTGGATATCAATCTCACATTGGTTAAGGAAGAAGTTTTAAATGAACATATATAGGTCAAATTTGTTTTATGGGATTGGGCCCTAAGGGGTACCACAATTTTATGAGCAGAGCAAGCGCCTACATGCCTACTCACCCTCCACACCACGACCAGATCTGGTTGAGCTCTGGTACAGGTGTGGTTTAGACCAAACCCTATCTTTTGGGAGAAAACTTGTTTAATTAATTGGGCGCGAATTTCTTAATCTGAAATTTAATTTTCGGTATCCGTTAGATCGCACTGGTTTGAATTTTTGCTTCCCTCTAGTTTGAAATCTGAGTTGTGTCTATTCATAGAGAACAATTACACAAGTGATGTCTTCTAGCTACATGTGTATGCTGGGTTGCATTTGTTCGTATTGTGATTGTCCGGACCAAACACCATTCTCTCTATAAATAACTCAGTCACATAATATTTTGCATATAATACATTTATAGTCATTTAAGGCAGTCTCATACATCATTAAGAAAGTCTGCATTTGAAAAGTACATAACACAATTTCTAATTTGCTTGACGGGTAGATTGAAGTGTTATTTCTACTCGTGTGAAGATCATTGTATCCTACGAACCAAGTGCTTTATATTCCATAAGCACCGTGTGTGGAGGTAAAATCTGTCTTAAAGATATAGTGTCAAACATTAGCCTTGATCTACTTAAAGTTCAATAACAGTTCATGTTCTGCAAATAGGT